TAAACCACAGAATATATATGCATGTGTGCATGAACAAAGGTCATAGACAACAAAGCTGGGAACAGGGTGGGGAGGGAGAAGAAGGGGTGAATCAGTGGGGGAAAAAGGAGAAACATCTGTAATAAAAATAAATTAATTAATTAAAAAATTAAAATAAAGGCAGATTATAAAGATAAACATCTCATATTATTCTATATTGTCTTGTAAGATGATGCAACATTTTGGGGCTATACAGTAAGAAAACTGGATAATTATGAATTGTTAATTGATTTCATCACCCTCTGGGTTTTGTATTTATAGACCAGTGTCCAACAGAACTATAATGGAAGCCATGCATATTACTTTAAGTTTTCTGGTAGGAACATAAAATATATAAAGAACCAGTTAAAATTAATTTTAATAGATTTTATTTAATCCATGGTATTGTTATTTAACATGCAATGAACATAAAATTGTCAGCGAGCTAGTTCTCATTCTTCATTTTTATTTGAAGTCTCTGAAATCTAATTTGTATTTTGCACTTACAGTCCATCTCAGTTTGGAATATCCATTTTTCAGGTGTGGAATAGCCATGTTTCAGGTGTGGAGTAGTCACGTTTAAGTAGTGGCTACCATATTTGACAGCACAAGATTGGACAATTCCACCATCCTTCTTTCTCTAAAACTTGGGTTTTTTGTTTTTTGGCTCATTGGTTGGTAAGTAAAGATAAAGTAATTCCAAGAATGGTAAGAGAAACAAAATTTCTCAAGATTTGGAAAAACAAAATCACTAAGTTCTATTCTGCATTTTAGATTTGTGCAAAGGTCTAACAGACCCTGTGATAATTGCAAGAAATACATTTTGTCCTTTTTTTAAAAAAAGTAGTTTTGGAACTCAACACAAGAATAAGAGAACAGACAGACTGATCTAAAAATAGACAAAGACGCCCTGGCCGGTTTGGCTCAGCGGTTGGAGCGTCAGCCTGCGGTACAGAGAGACCCGGGTTCGGTTCCCCCTAAGGGCAGGTACCTCGGTTGCGGTTTGTCCCCGGCCCTGGTTGGTCGTGTGGGTGGCAGCCACTCGATGTGTCCCTTCACATCGATGTTTCTCCCTCTCTTCCTCTCTCATCCCCCTGCTCTATCTGATCAAAAAATGGAAAAATGTCCTCGGGTGAGGATAAAAAAAAATAAAATAAAAATAAATAAATAAAAATAGACAAAGACTTTAACAGACACCTCACTAAAAAAGATATACAGATGAAAAATAAGCACATGAAAAGATGCTGCACATATTTCACCAGGGAAATGTGAATTAAAAATGAGATACAACTGTGCACCCATTAGAATGGCCAAAGTCCAGAACACTCGCAACACCAAGACTGGTGAGGATGTGGAGCGACAGGAACTCTCATTCATTGGTGATGGGAATGCAAAATAGGACGGCCACTTTGGATGACAATTTGTCAGTTTCTTACAAAACTAAACATATTATTACTATACAATCTAGCAATCATGCTCACAGGTATTTATCCAAAAAGAGTTGAAAAGTTATGTCCACAAAAAAAAAACTGGCATACAGATGTTTATAGCAACTTGATTCACAATTGCCTAAATTTGGAAGCAACCAAGATGTTCAGTAGGTAAATAGACAAATAAACTGGTACATTGACACACTGGAATATTACTTAGCACTGAAAAGAAATGAGCTTTTAAGCCTTGAAAAAAATTTTAATATTACTGAGTGAAAGAAGTCCATCTGCAAATACTACATGCTGCATGATGCTAGATATATTATATTCTGGAAAAGAAAAAACCATAAAGTAAAAGGATTGCTAGAGTGTAAAAGTGGTTGCCAGGAGTTTTGGCAAAGGAGGGTTGAATAGGTGGGGCACAGTGGATTTTTTGGGCATTGAAACTATTTTGTATGTTGCTATAATGGTGGATACAAGTCATTATATATTTGTCCAAACCCTTAGAATATACAACACCAGGAGTGAATTGTAATGTAAACTGTGGACTTTGGGTTAATAATGATAAGTCAATGTAAGTTCCTCAATTATGACCAGTGTACCACTCTGGTGGGGATGTTAATAGTGAGTGAGGCTAGGCATGTGTGGAGTTGGGGGCTTTAAGGGAAATCTCTGCATTTTTCTCTCAATTTTGCTGTGAACCTAAAAGTACTTTTTAAAACAGTCTTAAAATTATTTTTAAGTCAATTTTTTATTTCAAAAGAACTCTGAGAATAAAAATCACAAAGTAGCAATCCATATAAATGGTTAGAACTACTCAAAAAGGAAATAAAAAACTACAGTTGTATCCAAAGTGCCTTAAAAGTATATCAAGGATTATCCACTTCCATTGCTTATTTTTCTTTTACAGCACCATTTTATCAACCATTTCATTTTGGGGGAATCCATCACCTATATTTTAAGGAATGAGAATTGGAATTTTGGCACCCCTAATTTAAGCTAAAACTACCTTGTCTACATGAATGTTTATATTCATAACATGATGACATTTATAAATAGGAAAATAAACTGAACTGATATCTTTAAATTGTATATGTTATATAATGTTATTCTAATAGTTATTTATAAATCTACGGTATTAAATTGCTTTCCCATCACCTGTTTGCTCATAAAAAAATGATCTTTTTCATTTCTTTAATAAAATATTTAAACCATTTTGATAGTATTTTGACTGTATCAATGTATATAATTGAAAGGTGATACTTGACACAATTTATAGAACATGCGCAGAGCACCATCTGCAGTGCTGTTCCCACACCCAACCTGGGTGATCTGCATCCGAGTCCCCCAGTGCTGAGCTGGTTGTCAGGTCTTTGCTCAGCACCATGACAAGGTCACTAACTGAGACATTTGAAGTATCTCTGTTCCAAAGCACACTCATCTGACTTCAAAGTATGAATGTGAGAGGATATCTTTCTGGTCTTTCCTGCTTCAGAGATTGTCTAAAATGAGAAAATAATTATTATATTGTTCTGAGATGAGAAGCATCAATGTTTGAACTTCTTTAATATTTTCTCAGGATAGTTCTTGTTCCTTGATAATTAGAAATAAGGCCAAAGGACAGACACACATACACACACCATCAATACCATTTCTCAAAGAATTTTTATTTGTTTTTAAATTTTATTGCATGTCCTGGTAAACATAAGTGGCTTGTAGATTTGCCTCTGGCTCACCAAAAGCCCATAATACAAAATACCAAAAGACAAGCAACTGAAGCTTTAAAAAAAAAATCTCACATCTATAAGAAAAAGAATCTTCCAAAAACATTAATAAAGTATATAAAACATTTGACATTTACTAATTTTTGTACAATTATAAAAATAATAAAAAAAAAACATAACCCTTAACATTCAATATCCCACATACTGTATTTTAGGGGAGTATAAAGAGAACAAATGTAAATGGATTTACTGAAGAAAGGTCTACTCTCCATTTCTATTTCTCATCGCCTCCAAACAAAACCTATCCATTCTTCAGCTGACTGGACTGAGCTGAGACCACAAGGCCACAACGCTTATACCCTGAACTGTGGGGACATGAAGCCCACGCCCACTTGTGTGCCCTTAATATTCTTTCACCCCGTTGTCCTAGCTACTCATACACTCAGAGCGCGTACATTTCCACCAGGATGTGAGGCCAGTAGTTGCACCTAGACCTGGCTAATGCCAAGTCCGTGAGATACAGTACAGGAATTTGAGTCCCTTAGTGCCGTCTGAATAGTGCTGAAATAGCTCAGAGGAAGTCCTTAGGTTTATTCAAACACTCAGGACAGAAGAGGAAGCCACTCCTAGCTTTGCCAACGCACAGCTTTCATTCTCCCCCTTACAGGTTTTCAAAGCTGCCTGCTTGTTCCACAAGTTAACAGTGCTTATCATCATTTAAGCATGAAACTTTGAAACTTTCATGAAACTTTGAAATCAAGGACTCACTCTCTTTAACATACAAAATAAAAATAATAAAAAAAAAACCAACAACTTTCCCTTCCCCCCATCTTAGATTTATGAGATTTTTTTTTTCTTATTTGACATTTTAGTTTTACTAAGTTGTATTTCCATGAAAATATAAAAACAACAATAATAATTATAATGATAAAAAGGTTTCAACTGTGGTTCTGAAAAGCCCAATATCCCAAAAAGAAAAAAAAAATAACTGAAACACAAAATATGTACTTTCACACACACAAACATATGTACACTTTTCGGATGAAACACATACATTGTATTTTAGAGTCACATCAGCCCTTTTGCACTTTAAAATAAAAATGGAAGCTTATGTGCAATGATAGCCCTTTACCAGAAAGTACAAGAGGATTTTACAGCTCATCAGCATATATACAAAATAATTGTTTTATAGGTTGAAAAAAAAAAAAAAAAACATTTGCTACAAAGTGGGTTTCTGAAATATTTAGGGGAACATTGTCATGTTTTCCCAAACTTGGAAGACAACTCTTTGTTTATGTGGTTCAAGCAACAGCTCCCATGGAAGGCTTATCCCCTGAACTGTGGGGACATTTTTATGTCTATGCACAGTCCAGAAGAGAGATGGATGGGGAATTGGGTTCTCACAGTTACTTTAACAAAGTGAAACTCTCCTTGATCAAAAAGAGAAAAGTGATATAGTGATGTAACTGATGACACAGAGAAAAACTAGTCTCGTGATTTTATATTTTTCAAATCACTACTTCTATTTTAAACCTTGAAGAAAGATAAACAAGCCTCTACATGCAGAATTTTATAGAACAAGAGGGTTTTTAAGAGAAATGTTTAGCAAATAATATTATGTTTCCAAAGGTCTTCGAAGAATTTCAAGTCATGGTTCACTGAGATCTCTTACTATTTAGTGGTGATTCAATATTTCCATATAATGTCTGCTTTGCGGGGATATTCTTAATAGACATTATGACTTCACTATAAGAACTAGGTCAGTGGTTCTCAACCTTCCTAATGCCGTGACCCTTTAATACAGTTCCTCATGTTCTGGTGACTCCCAACCATAAAATTATTTTTGTTGCTCCTTCATAACTGTAATTTTGCTATGTTATGAATTGTCATCGGACATATGTGTTTTCTGATGGTCTTAGGTGACCCCTGTGAAAGGGTCGTTTGGTCCCCAAAGGGGTGGCAACCCACAGGTTGAGAACCGCTGAACTAGATAGATGGCATTCATTCTAATCAACTCAAACATAATCCTATCAAGAGTAGCAAATGTGTAATTGAGTTAGTCAATCTAGTAGTAAATTTCAGTTTTAAGGCTTCTATAATGGCCACAAATGTTCTCCCAATTAATACTAAGAGATTAGGTGTTTGGTATTAAATTTATGGAGATTGTTGATATATCCAGATAGATGATACCAGGTATTTTTGAACTGGCTGCCATGGACCTTTTAAGAATTTTAACCATGACCGATACTCCCCACTGCCAACCAAAAACAAGAAAGGATATTTCCTTCCTCTAGTATGTGATAGTGCGAAGGTGAACTTTTTCTTGTAACTGGATTAAATAACCCCAACCCCAAAGTGAATCACCATCACTAGAAGGGATGTCAGTGACATAAAATACACCAAAATAGAGAACCATGTACATATGTATATAGTGTCACCCACATTATAAGTAATGGTAAATACAACCGGATCTACCCAAAGGTTTGATGTGGCATTTGTTTGGCATCAAAAATAACTGAAGGGACCTATATATATATAATTGTCACTCATATGTACCACAAGCTCTAAATAGGTATTACCATACATGGTCTCCCTTGGGAGAAGGGGTATAGATAAGCTATCCAAAACAAGTAAATTAAAAAAAAAAAAGTCACTAAGTGCAACTCGATTTCCTCTTCTTTAAATTACATTTTAAACAATACTCAATGCCCCCCACTCAATTATATATACTGTATATTTATATATTTAAATATATAGTCTTAGACTATAAGAGTGAAAATGCTTTATAAAAGTCAATGAGAGAGCTCTGCAGCTTAAGAAATCACTTACTGCTTTTTTGCTCAGTTCTACCTAATCATGGCAACTTTAGTCTTGTAAGCAATAGATTTGAAGGCTTAAAGCCAGAATCAGAATCAGACACCTGGTTGGACATTAGGTAAATGTAGCCTCTTACTTCTCCTTCCCTTAAGCTACCAGACCGAGAAGAGAAAGGAGGCAAGGAGAATGCTTTGAAGGTCAAGCAGTAGTGCCTTGGAGGAGGGTAGTCAGGCAGAAAGAGGATGGCAAGAGCTCACACAGCAGTGCTCACTCCCCCTCCTCTTTGATACGCTGTTGCTTGTTGCGACGAGCATCCATGTCAAAGTTGAAGTCATTCCACTCATCGCGCGGTGGGAAGGAGATGGTTTGGCGGAGGGTGAAGCGCACAGCGTCAATAACACGCTCACCCCGGGTCTCACTGGAGCCCACACTGACTGTAGAAGTACCACTCGGGGTCCGCAGGAGGTGGGGAGGGGAAGAGAAGTCATGCAGCTGCCGGTGGTCCAGGATGCCTTTCCAGATTGCATGTCGGAATTGCTCAGGGATTTTTAGACTTGCCAAATCCTGTGCAATAGGAAAGGGAGTCAGGGAGAATTAGGAAAAAGAGACATTTAGTCTGTAACATTTTGTTATTCCCCCATGCTCTGGTTTAACTGATCTGAATTTATTGATCCCTAAAGTGAAAAACAAAGTAGCTCTCCAATAACCTTTGGCACTTCATGTAACTAAGCACAAAGGTACAGCCTTGAGGTTCCATCTCTGTTGTGGACACTTCACCCATTCTCTTCTGGTCTCAGTTCCTTCATTAGTAAAATTGTGACACGAGTTATATCAGGGGGCAAAGATCCCCAAACAAAAACATAATGTAAAGCACCTTCCAACTTCCAAATCTACATGACTCTAGTCACTAGAAGAAAGACAGGTATTAACGTAATACCACCACCACTCAAATGAGGAAATCAGAAAGAAAGATTACCATCAGTTATTAAACATTTTCTATGTGGCAGCTGCTGAACTAATTATTTTATATTCATGATCTCAGTTAATGCTCAGATTAGTGGTAGATATTATTATACCTATTTTTAGATAGGAAAGTTGAAGGTCAGAGAGGTTGAGAAGTCTAAATTTGTATAAATAAGGGAATAAATTGGGGACTTAAGACAGCCTCTGAGCCTAAAACTGCCCTAATGGCCAAAAGACCTCTTAGCCTCTAGATAAATTAGGGTATCAAAATGCAGAGTACGTGCCCATGCTCTATTGATGGGAGTAGAAGTCTTTACAAGCATGGTTGATCTTAACTAATGGTGGTGTCATCTCATATTTATCTACAGTAGCTCTTTGTTATTGTTATTGTTATTATTACTATTATTATCATTATTTTAATTTCTTATGGAACAGCATGGTGAGTAGAAACAACATTTTTCTTGGAGTCAGAAGACCTTGACAGAGGTTTATTCTTCTGTCACGGATTGGCTCTAGACCTTCATCAAGTCATCATTCTCTACTGGCCTTGTTGGTAAAATGGAATACAATTCCTTTTTAGGTCATTGAATACTCAGGTAAATGTGGATATGAAAATGTTTTGAAAATTATAAAGCATACTATATAAATCATAATCATTTGTTGTTGTATTATTATTAACCCATCCTTGCATCTTGGAGAGGATACTTAGGAAAATTCCCAAATTCAATGATATATCTTTTCCAGGAAGTGATGCCAAATAACTTAGACTGGTATTGAGAGAAAAACCTAAAAAAGAGGTGTCTTTTTCCAGTAATGATATGGAAGATGAGGTGAGGATGCAGAAATTGGATAGCTTCCCAATCTTTCCTGATTTGGACATTTGCAGTATGGTACTCCAATTTCCTATTCTAGCAGAAGAATACATTATAGAGAAGGCGATCCATAAACAGATAAGTGAGCATAGTTCTTTATGCTTATGACATTCCCAATAAGTCCCAAACTCTTTATAAACTAGGCTCCATTGATCTGCATGAATCTCTGGATAGATTTCAACTCATAACTGAGGTAAGAAAGCTGTGGCCCAGACGCTCACATAAGACCTAGCCAACACCAGCAGAGATGTACCTGTGGAGAACATCTGCAGATCCTAATAGGCAAGAGAACATCTTGACACACTCCCCAGTGGAGAAAAATGAAGCAAGTCGAAGGTATAACTTTAAAAATATAGGGAAGAAATGCATTCCCTGTTCTATCATGTAGGGCTCTCAAACACTAGACAATTCTGTTGACTTCAATGAATGGACATCATTATAAAGTTATCTAAAATTTGTCAAAGCTAGCTCTGAAATCTTTCTCTGTAGTTTTCACCATCAGTTTTCAGGGAGCAGCAGCCAGAGCTGATTTATGGAGTCAAGAGGAGTGGGCATAGGGGCAGCACAGCATATACTGGTCACCACAGGGCTGGGTCATTCTCATGCTGCAAGGGCATCTCTGGCATCGGTGCTCAAGGAGAGGAAAAAAGAAGTCCCAACTACAGAAGCAGAAGCAGAAGCAGAGGCAGAAAAGATCTTCTTCCACCAGTCCAAAGGGACCTCTGGAAGCTGGTAGGCAGAACAGTAAACCCCCAGAAGAGCAGCACAAAGGACAGCCTGGGAGGAAAATCAGATTGCCTTAAACCAGAGCAATAGAAGCCTGCATGTGAGCAGTAGTTCAAGAAGTGGTGTAGAAAGCAAGAACTGTCCCCTCCCATCCAGCTTGCTCCAAAATGCAAACCAAAGAATATAAAAGCCAGAAGAGAGTAATGTTGAACCCAATTTGATTAATTGAGGTCCAGAGAGACAAAGTGATAATCACAAGTTTGCATTGCTACTAAAAAGCAGAGTTGGGACTTAAACCCATGACCAGTGATCTTTTCCAATGATCAGGGATGTTTGAGCCCTATTCTGATAGACTTGAAAATGAATTAATATATGGTTCTCACTGAGAGGAATAGTTGAATCCCCTTGAGGTCCTACTTTAAGGAAAGGCAGAAAAGGCCAATTAATAGAGTTAAAGATCAGAAGTTTACACCTCAGGGTTCTATTCCTGATTCTGTCATCAACTCATCATGGTAAATGACTATATTGTTGTCTCTCCATGTTTTAAAGTGAGAATAATATCACCTGCTTCCTGCTATCCTCCCTGAGATCTTATACAAAGTAATGAGAACATCCAACAAATCCTCTAAATTTAGAGATTATAAATTTGTTGAAGGTGGGAATTAGATCTCTTCTTTCCCACTCTGTTTATAGTATGCGTGCAATACATAATTGACTGATCGGACAAGCTGAGGAAGATTGATTGCCAAGCTTCTAACATGTATAGGCTGTGGTCTAGGAATCTTTCTAATATCATTATGGATTCCATCCAAATTGAGAATTGGATGATAAGACAAAAAAAAAAAAAATGTTAAAACCATGGGGATTGACCTACAAGGTGGATGTCATCAGAGGGAGGAAATGAAGAAATAAAACTCAAGAGAAAAGTCTAACAGTTACTTACATCCATGGAGTAATGCTCAATCTGATAGATGGTGGTCAGCCCCTGGGTCGTGAAATAGTCCAGACATGATGAACAGCCCAACCTCGCTAAGAAACTGCAGAGGGAGGAGGGAAGAGGAAGGAGGAAACAGAAAAAGAAAGTTCACCCCAACTGCATTGGCGAGATAAAGGAAAACCCAACATTTTGCCCTGGGATGCCCTACAGAAGAGACTAGGGGTAGACAAAATATATGCGGTCCTTGGATTTGAGATTTGGGGATGATTGGTGACTTAAACTTTAGGTCTATAAAAATTAAAGTCAACTGGAAGGATCCCTGCAGAGCAGCAATTTTCAAAGGGTGACTGAATTGTAAGGGGCTCTATAAAAGTGCCTAAGCAGCCGTTGCAGGGGGCGAAAGGAAGGGGTCCAGCAGTCTCAGCCCTCTTGCCTCCTGGCTCTTCACTTCAAAAAGAGCATCTCTGCTTTAACTGTCTCATATTTGAGGGTTCTGAAAATAGTTCTGAGACTGGAACCTGTCCTTAAGATAGGTTCATGAGACTAAGATTAATTACAGGCCACTAGACTATGAAGTCACTGATGCTTTTTGATTTATGTCCTCCTCAGAATACAGACTCCCTCCTTTTTTGGTGCTGGTCTAAGGCTGATGATGCCACCGTCTGTCACAGAGCCAGTGGGATAATCTATGCATTTTGCCATCCCTCTGACTGGTGCTGCTAGTTTTAGTGCTCCAATCACATGGAGATCGACACATACTGCTCCAGCAGCCAATGAAAGAGTCATCTGCACCTGAAGCAGAGGCAAACGATGTGTCCTAGGCATGAAATCTGGGCACCTACTCTTGCCTCTGTGGGAACCAGATCTTTCAGGCTTCTTGGACTTCTCTCTTCTTGCTATCTGAACTCCTTTGCTTCAAGTGTTCCCATTTCCTATATAGCAAAGCAGCAGAGGCCATCAGGTTCTTGAAAGTCCCCGTCATTTTTATAAACGTGAAAACTCTTTTAAGGACATGCAACTTTAAAATAATCATCCCATGGTGGTTGAGAGTTATAAGGCCTAGAGAGCAGGAAAGGGAGCAAGATAGCAAGTTTACCGCCCTGTTGGGAACCCCAGCCCTGGGCACCAATTTGAAGGCCACTACTGACTGTAAAAATGTGAGGGAGGAGGTGGGGAGCAACTGAAGATGGGGGACAGGCAGGAAAAGTTATATGCCTATAAACTCACATTGGCACTTCTCCCCATGTTGATTATGGTGATGTTCCTTGATTAAACACTGTTAACCACTCCATAGATCAGAGATAATAGCAGCTGACCTTCAACGATAGGGCTGCTTTCTTTCTTCCCAACTGTGCTATTAACTTTGGACAGTGTCCACCCTCTACCACCCAGAGATGTTTAGGACAGGCCCCCAGGGGCACATGCTGTGGACTCACCTGACAAGGCTGCAATCTGTGGGGTACGGAGGTGGGGGGGTGCAGTGGGAGGTGGATGGCATGGAGAGAGGGGGAGGGAGGGCCTGGGTGGGGCTGAGTCCATTCATGTCTCCAGCCACTGGCATGTGGGTGCCCATCATAGGAACTGAACAGAAGCAGGAGGAACACAGAGGGTTACTGCCGTCATCATGTACGAGCATCCTAGCGGCAAATCTTGCCTGGTTTAATGTACCTAATCTACCAGGCTTCCTTTTGGGTCTTATTTCTCATTTCACCTCTTCAAGTACCCTATATCTCATGGGTCAGAATAGTCACCAAACTAAAAACTAATTACACACTTCTTGACCTTTGTGCAATCTCTTAACACAATTTCTTCCCCCTCATTTCTCTATTTCTAATGCTCTATCCCAGTGCTTATTGCTCCTCATGTTACTATTCTCCTTGTTGTTTTCACCTTCATGGGTTATATTTCTGTCTTTCTCATTAGACCAATCTCCTCAAACGTGGAGATTAGACCTTGTGCCTGTCTAGATCTTCACAGTGCCTGGCACAGAGCAGATGCTCAGTAAACTTAGCTTAAGTGAATAAATAAACAAATCTGTGAATGAGAGAGTGATTATTTATTTGGGAATAGGAAGATTTATTGCAATATTTGTAGAGCACCATAAACCGCAAAAGGAATAATGAAATTAAAACTTCTAGCTCTTTCTTATGGTCCATTTCAGGACTGCATTCGGGAACACCATCTGCTCATTGATGTTATTTTTCTAACCCATAAATCGTAAACATTCACTTATAGAGAAGAACAGCTTAATATCAATAATATTTATAAAACAACTTTTATCTTCAGATTAAAAAAAAAAAAAAAAGGAGCAAAATGACCTATCTACAAAAAAGACAAATGTAATTTACTTCTACTTTAGAATAGTAGCCAAAGGGAAAAGACCTCTGCCCCTAACTAGCCAGCTAAAGAGCACAGGGCTGTCATGTTTGCAGGTCTCCCTCTGACTTTCCTGATGACAGCAAAGGAAAATTGTGAAGTATAAGTAAGAAAACATAGGCAAATCATATTACACAAATGTGAAGGGTCAGCATCATTACTACTATTTTGTCATCCCAAGAAAAACTTGAGGATTTCTTTCTCATAAGAAAGAAAAATGGAAAAGAAAATGGTTACTTTTCCCTTTATTGTCAAGGGGTCAGGTTTTCAGCCTTGAGTTGCATGTATCCCTAGTGAGAGGGCATTCTGGCTCTAACGTCTTTATTGCTGCACCCGGTAGTCCTACCACATACATCTCCATGTCCTTAAAATCTGAACATGTGCCATCAGACCACTGAGAGTCCCAATTCTACCCTCCTTTCACTTCTTTAAGAAAAGCCAGTCTCTTCAAGGAAACACTGAAAATACAAGTTTAAAGGCTTAGTAAAAATGATGAAAGATTTCAAAAGAGACTATTGAGGCACTGTTTTCCACGGGGGGTTACATGTATCCAGGCTCCTGCATCCCTGAAGACATTCTATATACTCCTGCATTTTTACCTTCTTTCTTTCTCTCTTTCTTTCTTTCTTTCTTTCTTTCTTTCTTTCTTTCTTTCTTTCTTTCTTTCTTTCTTTCTTTCTTTCTTTCTTTCTAAGTTTGGATATCCACTTTGCTATATTTAGTTCTAGTGGACAAGATCATTATATTCAAACAAAGCTATAGACCAATCATCATCCACTCAGAGGCCCAAATCTCTCAGTTTCTTACAGTTCTACTTAGTTGTTGTGAGGAATCTGTGTGTAAATAACTGAAAGGGAAACTCCTTTCCTGAGGTCAATTCATTACTGGTTGTGAATAGAATGGAGTAGACAAGTAGAGAGGGTCAAGACTGCAGGGACACAGAATCATAAAATGTTAAATGTGGAGAGCAATGATTTTATGAATGGTAAACTGAGCATTCAAACAGAGAGGTATTTTTTCCATAATTATATAGCTACTATTGCATAGAGTCCAGGCTATAATCTATTTCTCTTGATTTTAAGTCTACCACACCACGCTACTTCACACATGTTGGATGTATTTCACTTTGACTATCTTGGAGGAGGTAGGAGGTAAGTCTTCATCCACATTCATAGGAGTGGACTCTTCTTTTCACAGAGATCCTTATCCCTACTAAAGAAACAGCCTTCTTCATCACTACCAATATACTTGGTAGTGAACCACCCACCTTAAGACTGAGAAAATGTTCACCATGAGAAACTCAAGCCACCCAACTTGGATCTGTTCTGTCCCACTGTGCCTCTCACTTAGCTTAAGAGCAAGCCTTTCCCACATCCCAGAGCAGAGTCTTCCTCTAACACTAGCCCTTCGGGTCCTTCAGCTGCAGCTAAAGGGGATGCTCTTACTGTTGGATCCCATGCCATCGGGAATGGTGGTGGGGGTGAGGGCGTTGCGCTGCTGAGGGTTGATCAGCTGGCTCACGGAAGGCAGCTTGTTCATGCTGTTCATTTTGTTCAGAGGTGGGGAGCTGTTACCGTAGGAAGACTGAGACTGCATCGAGGTCCTAGAAACACAAACATTGGAATGACGGTCAGCACGGGACACTGAAGAGTGGGGACTGGTTCATTTCCAACAGGTCTCACATTAAAACCTGACCGTAAACTGTACAGTTGCAAAACTATTCCTCCAGGATCAATGACAAGAAGTTATCTGCGCTTCGGAGAACTTTTCCTGACTAGGGAGGAATCACAATGCTGCCATCGAATTGTATTTTTTTGGAATGTGTGGAGTACCAAGTTGAATATTTTCCTAAAGCATCTCCTTTGCGAGAGGGAGAACAAATGCACCTCCTTTTCCCTTTATCGTTTTCCCTATCCTGTTGCCCTCTCCTGCCTGTCGATTTAAACAAGCTTAAAAATCACTAAGAGAACAGAACTGAGCAAGGGCTCAGACTTATGAAAGATATGGAGATGCCAAGCTCTAATGGCAGCAGGCCGTTTGGGATACGCAGACGATAACTGCAAATCCCACAAACAGGGCCTTCGGCAGCAGACCCTGCTGTCATGCAGAAGCCTCAATGTGGAAACATGCTTTGTCGGCTTCGACGTCCGTGGGCCATCAAATGACCACTCGGAACGCCAGTGGCCTCAGTATGCAGGAGAACCCTGGAGCCCAAACGACTGTTTCATTGACTTTCCATAAGTCTCCTGAGAGACATAGAAACAAAGTTTTCCCTTCAGCATAGCTTCAATTTGGAAATGTATTAGAATTGGTTTGTCATACTGTTCATTAGATTACATATGATATTCCCAAGTCAACTGCCATTCCTGACGTTTTCTTTGAATATAGAACTAGTGATCTCTACTAGAATCAAGGCAGAAACATGAAAGTTTAAGTCTTTCTCCAGCATATATTGGGAAGCTATAGGTCCCTGTGCAAGCCACTCAGCATCCTGCCTTTGCTTCCTCACAGGAAAAATATATGCACTAAATACACATGCACTCCCTATAAGAAGTAGATATCAGAGGTGGGAAAACTAACAAGAGGTGGTTGCATCTTTGAGAAGCTCATAGTGGATACATGGGGATAATAATCCAACCTACCTTTGTAGAGCTGTAGTGAGAACTGAAAAAGATAAGATGAAGAACTTTATAGACCATGTGTCAGTAACCGTGAGTAGTTATTGTGACCATAGGATGAAGACTGGACTTTGAGCATGTTTCTAAACTCTGATGGGAAAAGCTCCCCCTTCAGACTTATCAACAAAATGCATGATTGTGCTCCGGCTTGTCCCCTCCCTGCTGTAGCCATACTGCTATCAGAGGAGAGTAAAAAAAGTGTTTCTTTCAGTTTTATTTGCATGTGTATATATGTATGTATGTATACATACACACTCAACTATATATGAAAAACACATTTTGAAGGCTCTATAAATAAATCCAATTTTCAAACAATCATGATATAGGGATGTTTGAAAACATAATAAAAGGTGGTTCTAGAACTTGAATGCTACAGTAACACCCTTGGTCGATACTGTTCTCAACAATTACACAAAACAGGGATGGCCCCATTCCGTAGCACTGAAGAGCCGCAGCTAGGGGTATTCAAGCAAGATGCTATATGTACATTTGCATACATGTGAGTGACAACGTAGAATTAACGGTTCTGCTGCATATTACCATCACTGCCCTTAAGGACGCTGATTTTTCCCTTTAGCCCTTCTCAAGGACTCACAATTATAGAAAGAATCATGTTGTATGGACAGGTGTTTATATAATAAGCTCTCCCAATTGTAAGATACTTCAGGTTACCAAGCTCTCCTTTATCCATTTTCTGAAAGATTCTCACATCCCTGTAGAGGAGGACATGGTATGGCAGGGCAGGGATGGGCAGAAATTATTATGCCTATTATATAGATGGGTAAATATAAGTCTCTAAAAAAAAATGTGCCCTAGTTACATACTGCCTGATGATGAGTAGAGACGCCTCCTTCCCAGATCCTTGTCCAAGGGGTTGTTTGTTGTTTTGGTTTTGTTTTTCATTCTGCAGCATCTTCCCAGAAATAAGACAGTAGTGTGCAATAGGTTACAGAATCAAGAAGTTAGTGAAGTCATAGAGAAACGTGGAAAACTGAGATAGCACATGGAGCAAGAGATGTAGTAAAGGCAGACCCCCACCTATCATCAAATTGACTCCACAGTGTGTAAGAGTCAGCACACTGGAGAGACCTAGGAACATCCGTAAGCTCATGTCCAAGTGCAGGAAAGCACAGGCTAAGTGGCCAGGAGATGTTTACTCCCGCTATTGTGTCTAGCTTTACCCACCACAAATTACCTAAGATGCCTATTTGCCCAGACTCCAGAGGCAGGTTGGTCCGGTGTGACCTTAAGAGACCTCTGTTTATCTCTCCTGTTCCCCAAATCAGTTAAATGTCTGACAAGAGCTGATGGACGCATTACTTGAACATCAGTGTTCACCATTAGGAAACTAAAAATATATTTAAAAGCTTTGCATGTTCCCTGGACCCTCAGTTATAGTAAATGGCTTCTTCCAAATCCTGTTACGATCCCCTTTTCCCTTTCCCTTCATGTTTTTGACCATTTTACTAGTTCATTTACTATCAGTCGCCTAAACTGTTTTTGAGGAAGGTAGGTCAGAAACTACAGGTGAACATCACCTTCTAAATGTGACACAGATTAGTTGACTTTGTTATACATGTCTTTTGAATCTTATTTTCTTACTCTGTAGAACAGCCATTATGCTCAATCTAGAAGAGTTGCTATGAAAATTATATTATGTAAGAGCCCTGGACATTGTCCTATAATTTGTAGGTGCTCAAAAAATAATGGTTATCTTTCCTCTTCCTCTAAAGCTCCAAATGCTTAATATCCTAGCATTTGGTTAAGGAGATTAAAGGTATAGGTTTAAGAATTAATTGGAAGAAGTGGCAAGGATTCTTAATTGAGCAAACCTAGAAATTAGGGTGAGTGAATGAATGGGAGTAAGAGAGTCTGAAAAGGTCAGAAATTCTGAACACCTCTCTATTAATGATGAAGTAAATAGTAAAGCCACAAGATGAAAGGTCAGGGTAGTCTGTTTAATATGAGGTTTGCAATGTCTGACATACAAAGAATATTCTGATCATCTCTATGTGTTGTGGAAAAGCAAACAAGGCTGAATAAATTTGTGGTCAATGTAAAGCCCTTGAAGCAAAACCTTTTTTTTTAAAAAAAAGTTTCTTTACAAATATAAATGTCACAGTCCTTGAGTAGACAATCCCAAAGATTGACGGTGAATCTGAAGAGATGAAAAAAGTGTTCAAGGACAACAGGACCTATACCATTGTGGTTTTCTTACCCACCCTCCCCCAAAACAAAGCAGAAAAAGTAAGAACATAGCTCTTCTCAGAAAATACCAAGGTATGAGCCTCAGGCTGTTTTCTCTAGAGGCATACCAGATTTTTCCAGGAATCCAATGTAACAGCAATGTAAGCAGGCACGTTTCATGAATTTCTAGTTTTCTGGAGAAATCCTGATAAAGTCAAGCCCCAGTGCTTAATTCTAACAACTCAGGCTTCTGTATACATTGCTAAGAATAAAATTCAGTATCTCGAGGCTATGAGTGACATTTAGATTAACCAGAATTAGAAAGCTCAGTTCCCAATGCCAAGTCTAGTGACTATCTAGGTGGTAGCAAGTCAAAATTCTGTGGAAGTCACACACTCAACATCATCTCCACCACCTTGCTGGAGATGCCTAGAATTCCACCCAAGGATTCCTTTTTTTGCCTTAAATTTTCCATTGCCAATTAAAAGGCAACTCTCTTGTATGATCTGGTGATGCTTCAGCATAAACCTATTTCACCAAACCATTTCTGGAGTACAAATCTGAGAGGGGCAAGGGGAATTGAAAAGAAGAGCCAAACACCCCTGGAATGAGGAAAGTCAACAAAAGGGAAGACATGCACCATGAAAGGATTGCTTCTCCTCTAAAATGTGTCCAGTACTGCCCTGCTTGTAACCTTTCCTCTAGCTGGGCAATAGTGCTCCTAAATACAAAGGACGGCATTTAATCTCTAGACAAATCAACCGTAATTGTAATATTTTCCATCAGTTTAAATATGTGCATTTATATAAAAGTCACTATAAACACATCAAAAACTTACATAAAAATAGGGTGAAAGAAAAAACTTCTGAAGAAAAAGCAAATGTTAAATGATTAAACATACTCATTAACCCCTTAAGGGACCTGGAAATCAAAATGATTAGATTAAAAACACTTTGCAAATGTAACAAGATGATCTGATTTTACTAATATACTTTTATCTCAAACATATAGGTTTTTTTTTTTTCAGCTGCTAAATTATTTTTATTTGGAACAATTGTTTTTGAAGCTTTTAAAAACAATTATTCAAAGATGGAGATATATTGTTTGTTTTTGTTTTTTCTTTCTCTTTTAGAAAGCATTGGATAACAGCTTCAACTAAAACTTCTGGATATTTGCTAATGCGTAAAATTATTTAATAATTTTGGATTTGATTTCATTCCTTTTGGACCTGGCCTGTGTGGCTCAGTGGATTGAGCATCATCCCATGGACATAGTTCCAGGATCGATCCCCAGTCAGGGCACATGTCCGGGTTGCAGGCTCGATCCCCAGTAGGGGGCGTGCAGGAGGCAGCGATTGATGGTTCTCACATTGATGCTCCTATCTCTCTCTCCCTTCCTCTCTGTCAAAAAAAAAGAAAAAAAAAAAAAACACAATGAAATATCTTTATAAAATAAATAAATTTCTTTTGGTAAATTTAGCAATTTAAGTTGTAACTCAAGACTTGTTCAGAGCTGTGAACAAATGACGCTGTAGTGCGTGGTTCCTTACAATGAAATCAAACACAGAGCGTTAAAGTATATTTCCAAGTTAGTGTGGGCATTGCAATTTATTTTTAGGATTGATGATCTTGCTATAGAACATCTTAAATAAAAATAAGACATACTGACAGAGTGTACACAGGACCAAAGTAACTCTTCTATTATTCTTTTTCTTTAGACTTACACATGATAGGTATCC